AAAAAGTACTATCCTTTTTCATAGCTGTTGTAACTAAATTTCTGGACCTTTGTGTTCAATATTAATAGCAACACAGTCTCTGGAGTGATTACTAACAGAAGATTTGTATTGTTTAATGCCAACTGGAAGTAATGGCTGTTGCTACAACCTGAAGATTAACCTCCACGGTATTTCAATCTGTCGCAGAATGCCCAGCATGTTGAGGTGGAGAGTATCCCCCTGCCAGATATGCCTCATGCTCCCTCCAACATCCTCATTCAGGACATCCCTTTGCCTGGAGCACAGCCACCCTCTATTCTCAAGAAAACCTCAGCCTATGGGTAAGGAAAGAATCTGTTGAAGAGGCTAGAGAACAGTGTGTGAGAGTCTGCTGTTGCGACTGACGTTTAATCATGCCAGCAACATGGCCACGGAAATGTCTTCGGACAGTGGCTTGGAAACAGAGATGAGCACCACCCCCTAGAGTTGGATTTGACTGGCTTTTGAGCAAGGGAAACCTTTACCTTGCAGTTGCTAATGTAATTCTTAGAGTTGTTTTAATATTAGTTATTTTAGGTATTTGTTAGACATGCATATGAGCTTTGGAATGAGTGTTCAGAATAGAGATGTGAAGGCCCGGAAAAAAACCGGACAAATTCAGGAAAAAACTGGTTTTCCCCCGGTTTTTTCCTGAAACCTTTTTTGTTTTTTTCCGAAAAATTGGAAAAATTGAAAAAAAGAAAAAAAAATTGATTATGGAACGTTTTATTTTAACATGAGGAATAAAATATTTTAAGACCAGGTGTTCAAATATTTTCCAAACCATTTCTAATATATATATATATGGTATCAGATGGATGTAATTTCTGTGCATTGAGGACAAGCAAGTCCTAGGTTACAAATTGAACTCTCCAATGCAAGAACAAGATGCATTTCTTCCTTTAGGAGGTGCAATTGTCAGAAGAAAATTAAAAAGTTTCAGTTTTGTTTTTGCATGTGGGTGGGTATTCTGTAATAATTGTTTGGATACACTATATTTTTAATATGCTAGTTGTGATAATTTCATGCCAAGTAAAAATGTCCATAGTCATATTTTATGTTTCTAAAGTAACAGAATGACTTTCAAACTAGAAAAGACAAAAGAAATGCTAATGTAGCATTTTTTCAATTTTTCCGAAAATTTCCGTTCCCCCCCGGAAAAAAACGGGTTTTTTTCCGAGCTTTAAAATTTCCGGAAATTTTACATCTCTAGGTCAGAATAGAGTGTGTTAGTTGACTGCCCTTTGTTCACGCTGCATGCCGTTGGGGCTCAGGCCATGGGTTAAGGCAAAAGAATTCTGGTTTAAAACAAACTATTTTACTTCATTTATCCTCTGCCTTGGAATCATCTTAACTGGCCATTCATTAGCTAAAATGTCAGGCAAAAGTTTTGCCAGTGTTCTGTTAGATTTCAGCAGAACAGCAATAGTGTGTTTGTAGCTCAGAAGCCTTTTTCTGCACACAAAACAAGTTTCCTGCTCCTCACATTGAGGATGGGGAAATACTTCTAAGGCAGGAGAGGAACAGTTGGGCCCTGGATAAGGGTGAACCAGGAATTATTGTTGTAGAAGCCATGGTCTTGTATTTGCTGTAGTAATCCATTTGGAGCTGCATAATACTTTACAGCCGCCATATGGTGGTTACTAAAAGCGGTTGCTTTTCCAAACCTTATTTCTAGCCCTCCTGTTCGGCCTGTTTCTGTTCTTCCACCTCCTGGGCATGGTGTCCCTCGCTTACCCCCTGGCAGGAAGCCACCTGGACCTCCACCGGGGCCACCACCACCCCAAGTCTTGCAGATGTATAGTCGTAAAGTAGGATTCACTCTAGAAATGGCCCCTCGCAGGAGAGAGGAGGAGGTGTCCTACAGTCCAGAGACAGGTAAATAAATGGCTTTCCCCTTTTCAAAGTGTGTGAGAGAAACTTCCACTTTCATCTGTTCAGCAGATTTATGTGAAAAGGGAAAAATGCTTGCTTAGTTTTCACAACACATTTTGTGCCATTCCTTCCTCATTTTTAGATGGGACTAGAGAAGTAGTTTTTAATTTTAGCAGGCCTTTTGAATGTCAGGCTTGGATGTAAAGTAGCCTTAAGAGATGGACTTCAAAAGGAATTTCAAAGTCAGAAAAACTGTTCAGGGAGTACCAAAATAAAGGTCATGGAGGAAACGTACAAGATTTCTTAAGTGTTCCTATGCTTGCCGTACTTTTCAATGTGTGTGTGTGTGTGTGTCATTAGATAAATTTAAACCTTACCAGCTCCCTAGTATGAAACATGCTTGATGTGTGTAAATAAGATTATTCTAATATATAATCTTCTGTTGTTTCTGGATCTGACTGCCATGATGTCATAGATGTTGCATAACATTGGCCTAAGACTTTTTGTATTTTTCATGTGAATTGGGAACAGTTCTATAAAAAACTCTTCAGTAATGCCCATTTTCTGTACTGGCCTGCCAGTGGGTTGGTGTATGAGAGCAACCGCTGGGGAGACAGGCAGCTAGAGAAGCCAGTATTTGTTGATGAAGCTATCCTGTAGTGATTTTATAACATGTCCCTTTTTACTGCTTCCCTCTTTGCATCTGTATCTGGATAATGAAGGTGCTATTTATGGGATGTATGCAGCAGAGTTAGGGTTGCATCCTGCCTAGAATTTCTGAGTGCAAGGAGGAGGGGTGGTTTTCCCCTGTACCCACAGCAACACAAAATACTCCCTGAAATACTGCTCCTGCATGATAAGGAGACCCCAAGGGATATCTCAGAGGGGAATTGGCATGGGGGGAGCTGGCAAAAATCCCTCCCCTTGCATCAGCAGGATCTAGGCCTTAGACTTGGAACTGTTAATTCTCCCACTTTTGTTTTCCTTCTTGAATTGAGACCACTAAAGCTTGCATACTGCAGAATCAAACTGATCATGTTGACTGTTGTGTTGGTTTCCTTGGTGGCCACCTTTTATTGGTACTCCTTAGGTCCCCGGGGACATGATGACGAGGCTTCCAGCACCAGCGAAGATGAGGGATATCCTGAGGACATGGATCAAGACAAGCATGATGACTCTACTGATGACAGTGACAGTGACAGGACTGATGTAGACAGTGAAGGGGAGGAGTTAATGCATCATGATGACAATGCTGAGAGGGAAGGTGGGGAAGATAAGAAATCAGGTAAGTTGCTTAGGAAAGTGGAAATACTTCTGTTACATCTCAGTCCCAGCCTTCCTCCAAAGAGTTTGGGGCAGCATGCACTGTTTTTCATCCCTCATTTTATCCTTATAGCAACTAAGTGAGACAGGGTATGCTGTTAGGCTAAAGGGAGTGACTTGCCCAAGATCATCCTTCGAGCTTTATTGTTTGGTGATTTTTATATATATAGACATATATAGATGTTAAATTTTAGCTTTGAAGGCGCAAGTGTTTAAGAAGAAGAAGGATAGATTGGATTTATACCCTGCCCTTCACTACCCGAAGGAGTCTCAGAGCAGCTTACAATCCCTTTCCCTTCCCCTCTCCATGACAGACACCCTGTGAGGTAGGTGGGGCTGAGAGAGCACTCTTAAGAATTGTCCTTGAGAGAACAGTTTTGAAAGAGCTTGTGATGGACCCAAGGTCATACCAGCAGCTGCATGTGGAGGAGTGGGGAATGAAACCTGGTTCTCCCAGATTAGAGTCCATGCTCCTAACCACTACACTAAACTAGGGAAACTCAGGCCTTTTGAATCTCAGACTTGGATATAAAATAGCCGTAAGAGATGGACTTCAACAGAAATTCAAAGGAAATTTTGTAGTTATTTGTGTGTGTGTGTGTGTGTATATGAGAAATAATATAATATGCATAATGTAAAGAAATACAGAAAGAAGAAAAAGGAGTCACCTAACATATTCGTTCTAAGGGTAGCTGACTAGGAATTAGCATGCATAAGTAAACATGTAGATTTTCATGACATCAGGAAAGGAACTTGATTACATATCCCCCCAACACCCTCACTACTAGGTCTTGGTGAAGCGCATAGTTCCTATGTCTTTGAATCTCTTTAACAGTCTGTCTTTCAAGTTACTAATAAATTATTTAGAATTTTAAATGTGCTATAAATGAGAAGAACATAAGAAGGCCCTAAGTTACCGGACAAGACCAGTGGTCCATCTAGTCCAGAATCCTGTCTCACACAGTGGCCAACCAGTTCCTCTGGAGGTCCAACAGCAGTGCATAGAGGCTGTAGCCTTCCCCTGATGCTGCCTCCTGGCTCTGGGATTCAGAGGTTTACTGCCTCTGAATGTGGACCCCTTTAGTCACCAGGGCTAGTAGCCCCTGATAACACCTATCCTCCATGATTCCCTTTCAAAGCCATTTATGCCTGTGGCCATCAATACATCTGGTAGCGAATTCCACATTTTAATCACTCATTGTGTAAAGAAGTTTTTTTGTGTGTGTGTCTTGGATGCCCTCAAGTCCTAGTATTTTGGGAGAGGGAGAAAAAGTTATCTTAATCAACTGTTCCTAGTTCATGCATAGTTTGATAAACCTCTATCATGTCCCCTCTTAGTTGTCTCTTTTTGAAACTGAAAAGTCTGAGACTCTTCAGCTTTTCCTCATAGGGTGCTTCAGCCCCCTAATCATCTTGGTTGCCCTCCTCTGTACTTTTTCCAGCTCTGCAATGTCCTTTTGGAGATCCGGTGAGCAGAATTGCACACCGTATTCCAGATGAGGCTGCACCATAGATTTATACTGGGGCATTATAATATTGGCTGTTTTATTTTCAGTCGCTTTCATAATAATTCACAACATAGAGTTTGTGTTTTTTCAGTGCTGCAGCACACGGGGTTGACACTGTTGTTGAGCTATCTACTACAACCCCAAGATCTTTTTCCATCTCAGTCTCTGCAAGTTCAGATCCCATTAGTATATACTTGAAGTTGAGATTTTTTGTTCCAGTGTGCATCACCTGACACTTACCAAGATTGAACTTCATTTGCCACATTATTGCCCAGTCACCAAATCTGTGGAGATCCACCTGGAGCTCTTCACAGTTATCCTTGGTTTTCACCATCCTAAATAATTTTGTGTCACCTGCAGACTTGGCCACTACACTGCTCACCCCCTAGCTGCAGATCACTTATGAACAAATTAAATAGTACTGCCCACAATATCGATCCTTGTGGGGCTCCACTGCTTACTTCCCTCCATTGTGAAAACTGCCCACTTATTCCTACTCTTTGCTTCCTGACATTTAACCAGTATTTAACCTGTAAGAGCACCTGTCCTCTTATCCCAGTACTGCCATGTTCACTCAGTCTTTAGTGAGGCACCTTATCAAAAGCCTTTTGAAACTCTTAAGTATATAATGTCACCGTTGTCTACATGCTTGTTCACTTTCTCAAAGAACTCCAGAAGGTTGATGAGGCATGACTTCCCTTGCAGAAGCCATGCTGATTTTTCCCTCAGCAGTCTTTGTTCACCTATGTGCCTAATAATTCTATCTTTTATTACAGTTTCTACTGATTTGCCTACGACGGATGCTAGGATAAGCAACCTGTAAAAAACTGGTTCCCCTATAAACCACTTTTTAAAATTGGTGTAACATTTGCTACTCTCCAGTCTTCTGGTATAGTAGCTGAATTTAGTGATAAGTTACATACATGGGTTAGTAGATCAACAGTCTCACATTTTAGTTCCTGAAGAACTCTGTGGTGTATGCCATCAAGACTTATTGGTTTTTAATTTCCCCAGTATGTCTAGAACGTCATCGCTTGTCACCTCAGTTCTTCAGTCTCCCTTCCTGAAAATATTGACTGTGGCTTGGGTACTTTCCACAGTGAACACAGGAGCAAAAAACTCACTCAGGTTCTCTCATCTCCCTATCTTCCTTTTGCAGTCCTGTTAGGCATCCAAAGGCCCAACTGCTTCTCTGGCTGGTTTCCTGCTCTGGATATATTTGAAATGCTTATTGTTTGCCTTGATGCTCCTTAATTTTCTTTTTTAATGTTTTCTGATGGACTTATATTTGTGGTTAAAATCATTGTTTCAACTTTTTAACTGAACCGATGTTCTGCTGTTCTGTGACTTTTGTTAATACTTGTCTTGTTTACTACTTTATCGCTGTGAAACTTTTTACCATTTATTGCATATTCTTGCAGGTCATAGTGTACGGTTTGCTGACATGCCTGGAAAATCACGGAAGAAGAAAAAGAACATGAAGGAACTTACTCCACTTCAGGCCATGATGTTGCGAATGGCTGGTAAAAAGGATTTGACTTTTTTTTCAGCTCTCCCCACCCCCTGAGCCCATTATTTTTAGATATGAGCAATAGAATCCTGCTGGCCTTGGGAACTAGTTCACAAAGATATTCTTAAGTGAAGGTTCAGGATCTGGTCTGTGCTTTATAAGCAGGAATTGTTTGCATTATATGGTATTAGCATATCAGCTGTGATAATGCATTAATTTCCAACTGGTAATGTCCGTGTAGTAGTTGACTTCTAAGTTAGAACTTGAATAGGAGACCATCAAGGAAGTCCAAGGTTGGTCCACAGAGGTGGGCAATGGCAAACCATCTCTGCTCTTCTCTTGCTTTGAAAACATCATGGCTTCACTATCAGTTGGCTGCACCTTGATGGTACTTTCTACCACCAGGATTCTTCACAGGAACGTGCAGATCTGAATTCTACACATCCTCTGCTACTGTCTGTGATCCGTCTGTCAGCAGCAGTGATAAAAAAGGAGGAGGGACTCTGTCCCCCTCTTTCTGTTGACAGTTGATGGAGTCCTATAGCAGCAGAGGAGGAAAATGAGAAGGCTCTTCTGTCTGCTGCTGAGACTTGTTGGAAGGTTGGGTTTTGCTACTCTGTTGCTGAGAATTGGGCTTCTGCAGCCATGGGAATCTATTAGCAGCAGACTATTAAGCAACTTATTATTTACAAGGGATTTAATGGGTTGGAATTTAATGCAATTTAATGGCTTGTACTTTTGATGTGTTTCAGAGGTGCAGCGGAAGAGCTGTATTTTAGGATGTGGTGACTTGCAAACTGAACTTGGTGCTTTTAAGCTCTGTCAGTTTCATTGGGACTTCATGTAAATGCAAGGCTCAGTGCCATATGCAGCCGTAATTGTTTTAATTTAAATGTCTGCAGTGTATAATAGTATCTTACATTATCAAGATGGGTGTAGGGAGAATTTAGACACTGAATTCTTGTTAAATGGAAATTCTGTATAAACTTCAAGGGGGATTCTTACTTTGAAGGAGAACAATCTGCTTTTCCTGAAAGGTCAGCTTGTTCTGTGCCTTTGGTCTCTATTTGTATGCCTTTAAGCCCCTTGATTCTACCAAGACATCTCTCATCCCTTCCCTGCAGGCCAGGAAATTCCTGAGGGTGGCAAAGAGGTGGAAGAGTATTCTGAAGAAGATGATGATGACGATGATGAGGATTCAGATGCTGAAGAGACACCCCAGCAGCAAAGTACCGAAGAATCCCACACGGAGACTGCATCATCAGCGCCCACCCAAGCTACCCAGCAACAGCAGCAGCCACCCCCTCAGCCTGTTCCTCCAGCTCAGATCCAGGCGCCTCCCATGCCAGGACCACCCCCTCTTGGACCACCTCCAGCACCACCCTTGAGGCCCCCGGGGCCCCCGACTGGCCTTCCTCCTGGTCCTCCTCCAGGTGAGTGCTTGAAGGACCCCATCCTTATCGTTGCTTTGGGGTCCGAAGCTGGAAATCCTGAAACCTTTGGCCTCAGGTGTGTCTGCTTGGCTTGAATGAATTTTATGTGCTCCTTTATTGTTTGTAGACAACAACACAAAAGGTGAGCTACACAGTAATGAGATCAGTAAACAAAAAGAACTGTGTACCAACGCTGTGTATAAAATCCAGATACTCTTATTATTTAAGCAAATTAATGCACACTGTAATACTGTATGCACATAAGGACCATACCATACAGATAAATACACAAAATACCTTCTTCAAGAGATGTACAGATGTGTGAGTATGGTAATTCCAAGTTAAATTATTAGGAACAACTCCTTTAGGTTTTCAGATTAAGTCCACAAAAAATTCTTTCACCATACAGATCTTTCTTTTTCTGAAGTGAATGCTAGTTTACTGCAAACATGTCTCCCATATACTTTCTCAAAGAACAGATCTGCTTAAATTTTGTTCTAGTTGGATACTCTGTAAACAAAAAACCCCATAAATTACATAATCTTTTCATACTGTCATCAAGAGCTTATTCTTATAATATGAGCAGCATTACCTGTTACAATTTCACCTGGGACATAGTCGTCTGAAGTGGATCACGCTGAAAATCTGCATCCAACCTTCCTGCAAAACCTCATATAATGGGACCATCAGATGTTCTTGATGACAGTTTACAAAACCATTTGTAACTAAATTTAAAGGAATAGTCCTAGCAAGAAATACTTATTGCTTTGGGGTCCAAAGCTGGAAATCCTGAAACCTTTGACCACAGGTGTGTCTGCTTGGCTTGAATGAATTTATGTGCTCCTTTATTGATTGTGGCTGGATTAATTTTTTCTTGTTACATTACATTGTAAACTGCTCTGAATGTGTGGGAATGGTGGGATATATATATTTTTTTAAAGGGCCAATTGCTGCTAGAATAATTTCGCTGTGGTGGGTTCTTTTCATGTGAACGTTCTTTCTCATGCATGAAGTTAAAATGCTGTTTATTCTAAAACATTTTATTAGGCACTTTTACCCCACTGGTCTTCCCACTGGGAGACACAAAGTAGCTTACAAAAATACTGAAATAAACGATTTACAGTCAAAGAAAGAAAAAAAAGGAAAAGGAGTACAGTAAATTGTCCTCCTTTGGAGCCAGCCTGGTGTGTAGCTCTTCCACCCAGCTGAGGTGTCCCCTACCTTCCTCTCCCAAGATGTCAGTTACACGCTGCGCTCTCTGGTACAGCCCCCAAGGGGACTCAGAAGCCAGTTCTGGTGTTTCCCTCTTTCCTTGGTCAGACAGTCGATGGCTCAGCTGTGTATTCTGCAGGCGCTTGCTCTCTTAGAGGTTCCCAGCTGGCTAGGCCACAGACTGGTTGGCCCTTGCCCCTTTGGCTGGAGCCTCTGGTCAGTTGTTTTAAGGCAGCTTTAAAAGGTTCCCTGCAAGAAGGGGATGGGGCAAGTGCTTGGCTCCAGATCTCAGCACCTGGCTGGTGTTGCAGTTCTCTCCGTTCCTTGTGCATTTGAGCCAGCTCAGGCTTAAGAGTAACTACGCAGTATCTAGCAAGACTGGCAGTAAAAGGAGAAATTGCATGATGTTTGGCTGGTGTTGTTAATTTATTACATTTGTTAATGGTAAGACTGGGTCTTCCCTTCTGATTTAAATTGACTCTTCGGATTAAATTAATCCTAGTCACCATGACTGTGGTCCGGGTTGGTGTTTTTGTCTAAACAAGGTATTTCACCTTGATTTCAGCTGACCACAATTATTGGTAGAAAGTGTTGAACTAATATTTCTGGACTTATAACTACTCTGTGTACATTTTTTCAGGGGCGCCTCCATTCCTTAGGCCACCGGGATTGCCTGGACTACGTGGTCCATTACCACGACTTTTGCCACCAGGACCACCTCCTGGCCGACCCCCTGGCCCTCCACCGGGTCCACCTCCAGGTCTGCCTCCTGGCCCTCCGCCAAGGGGACCCCCACCTCGTTTACCACCTCCAGCTCCGCCAGGTAATATTTAAGTGAAGTCTGTTTTCTTGTTTCTCCAGTGTTAAGATACAGAGCAAAGGATTTTAATCAGTCTAGCAACACATTTTACTACATGCTACTAATGTATCTCAAACACAACGCAGTAGTATGTTTCTTATGCTCATTGGCAAGCATAGAAGTTGAAAGGAACTTCAGTAGGATGCATGAGGCTTTGTGTAATATTGGTACACAGACTGGAATTTATTTACTTCATTTGTACCCCACCTTAACTACTGCACCATACAGGTTTAAGTGTGTGTGAGCATAGGCACTTCCGATTAAAAATTAGGTTGATACTAAGGGGGGGTTTAAAGGACTTTCAGCTGATAGCTAGTTTTCCCTGTAATTTGTTAATCCTTTGCGGCATGCTTGTCTCATACAGGTATCCCACCTCCTCGTCCAGGCATGTTGCGTCCTCCTCTGGTTCCTCCACCTGGGATATTCCCACCAGCTCCCATTCCAAATCCTGGAGTACTGAGTGCTCCTCCCAGCTTGATTCAGCGCCCTAAGGCAGACGATACCAGTGCTGCCACCATTGAGAAGAAAGCCACAGCAACTATTAGTGCCAAGCCACAAATTACAAACCCCAAGGCTGAGATCACCCGTTTTGTGCCCACGGCCCTGCGAGTCCGCCGAGAGAACAAGGGGACTTCTGCCTCTGCTCAGAGGAAACCTGATGACGAACCTTCTGTTCAGATAACCAAAGCAACACCTAAAGCTGGCGCTTCTGCCCCTATCTCTGTGCAGACCAAGGATGATGTGTATGAAGCCTTCATGAAGGAAATGGAAGGGCTACTGTGACAATCTGTTTCCAGTTTAACCTTGATATCTGCTGTACTGAGATCAGATACTCTGTTAGTGTCGGGGGGTTCCATGTTATAGTGGCATCCAGTGGAGCAGCTCTTCCTTTCGTGACAAAGAATAGTCCCTCCATCCCAGTTGTGTTCCAAGTTGGGACAGAGACCAGTCGAGATAGTGCCAGAGGGGTAAAATCACCCGCTGCCTCTTAATGAAAGACTAAATTTAGGAGCGTGCACTCTCCTAGGTTGTGGTCTGTCATTTTGAGAAGTGTCAGTGATTCCATGGAGAACCTGTTGTCTCTTGAATATTTTATGGTTAAAGGGGAATAAATTTGAGGAACCACAACGTGTTGGTGAAGTATCTCCTGCACATATACCTGATCATCAGGGTTGTATGTTCTGTTTTGTTGGCTTTCTGTAAATATTTTTGTAATGCGGTTTTAGTTGAGTGAGATAAATTGGTTATATGCTGTCTTAGAGATGGGCAGGCTATCATTTGCAGATATGGTATGCAGGAATCGTGCACCCTGTATGTCCTGTAGTCACCTTGGTGGCTTCTTGCTGACAAGTGGAATATCACTTGTCTCATGAAAGAGAATAAATATTTGATGTACTACGGTGCTCTTGTTATCGTGTGTTTGTGTTTAATATATTGGGAGCGATGGGGTATTTTCACGGAGAAATGCTGTTATGGGATAGTAGCCCTGGGGAAGGGATGCTGTGCAGGGTCCCAAAGGTCCAGCCCATGGAAATCAGTCCTGGCGCTCAACATGCTGCTCATGTCATTCTGTGCTTTCCCCCCTCATAACCAGAGGGCTGGAAGCTTTATTTTTTGTTTGTAATTGAAAGTCTAGAAACACCCACCTCCACCATACACATCTAGTCACCAGCAGAGTATATGTGATTCTGGCCACTGCTGACTACTTGCTACAAGGGAACACTGGTGAAACTTGGAAATGTGTTCCTCGTTGAATTTCCTCCTACCCCTTCCTCCAGGGAGCTCAGGAAGGCATGCATGGTTCCCCCCTCCCCCTTCTTTATGACTGTCCCCAGTGAGGCACTTGCTGAAACTGAAGACTTGAATACCTTTCAGAAGGCCTTCCTTGGGGGAAGGGGCAATGTATGTTATATTAAGTTGTTCTGTACATACTTTGCTTGCTCTGAAAACTTCTTGTAAGATAAGCTCAAGCTATTAAAGGGAGCTCAGTTTCCAGAAAGTGCCCCCCTTGCCTGTGGAGTGCATATGCAGGAACGCCCTCCCCCTCTGTACTTTCTTTCAGTATCTTAAATGTCTTCATAATGGGAGTGCTTCTTTGCCCCAATGTAAAGAGAAATGTCAACGCTAAGGTTCTTTTAGCTTCCTCAAATCACATTCCATGTAATCAATCTCTTAATGTTGTGGAAATAATGGATTTGGTGGACAGTTTATAAATTTATAAATAAATAAATTTATTAGAGACCTTTGCATGCTCAATTTGGGTCATGAACAAGTGGCTGGTGCAGTTGGCTGAGAAATCCTTTTGTTTTAAATACAAACATTCAGAATGAAGACATTGCATTGCATTAACCAAGAAGCGGGCTGCCTTTTGGAAGCAGAAGTGGTAAGAGCCAGGAAACTGGGCAAATCCATTGACAGGGCTATTTCACTGCAGAGAAAATCCTCCTGAAAGATGCCCAGAGAAAGGCAGGGGAGTGATTGTTCCCTCCCAGGAAGATAGGGGTTTTCCCTGTATCTCTGTGACAGATTACTGTTTTGAAACTGGTGTACTTAAGAGCATGCCTCGGTTCCTGCCGGAGTGCACCGGAGCACCGTTCCGCCAGTCAGGAGCCCAGGGGGCGGGCACATAAGCCCCACCCCTGCTCCCACGAGCCATCAGTTGGGCAACCGTGTGGGGGGAAACGTTCCCTGCCTTCCTAAGTCCCGGGGTGGTGGCCTTGGACTCATAGGGGCAAATTCCACCTCTACATCATACGCAAGAGGTCATTCTGGTTCCCCCAGCTCTCCTTCGGGGCTCTTTAAAAAGTTATGGCGTCCGCTGCTGTTCTTGGTGGCAGCTGAGACGCGGGGGGG